GTGCTGCCATTTCAGCAGGAGCCAGGACTGGAGCTGGTGCCCAGAGGAGATCTCGTTCCACAGGCAGGGAGCACCAGGGGACCCGGGCACAGAGGAGCTGGGGCTTGCTTTGCTGGGTTCTGGTAACTTCCCTCCTGTGGCCGTGGAGCCACAGCACCATGGCAGCTCCTTCTGCACAAACACAGCTGAGGGGAAGGATTCTCAGGAATATTTAACCCTTCCCAGAGCAGCAGGAATGAAACCTGCTCGGTTTTGGGCAGCCCCTGTTGGCAGCAGGTTCTTGCAGGACGTGCTGGTGGCAGTTGTCCATCGTTCCATCTGTGGGGCTGGCCCCAAGGGATGAGGAACGTGGGTTTGATCCCAAGTTTTCCATCACCACCCTGATGTCATCACTCCAACTTCTCTCCTGTTCCCTCACTCACTGTGCACAGCTGGTTTGGAGAAATCAGAGGGTGCTCTTGTCTTCTCCTGCAGCAGATCCCAGTGGTGGAAATGTTCCTTGGATGCTTAGGGAAAGCTGTGATTCCTGGTTTTCCACTTCGGGAGGCTGTGGGACTTCTCCTGCAGAAGGATGTGATAAATCTCAGGCATTTAAATATGTTCTGAGAAATATTTCACTCTCAAGGAATTGTGTTGGGTAAGACCCCTGAAGGTGTGGAAAGCCTGAGGCTTTTTGGTGTTTGTTGTCAGTCAGGAATGACTCCCAAATTTCATGGGCTTGAGAATGTTTCCAAAACAAAATAAGCAGCTCCAAACTGTATCTGTTGAATTTTCTTCTTGAGGTTATCCATGTAAACCTGCAAACAGGACAGGAAAAGGAAGAAGGTGCCTTATCCATGTTTATTTGTGGATTTGCTGGACATTCTTTATTTCCTGAGCCTCAGTAGCATCTGTGCCACTGCTCTGCGTAGGGAGAGCAAACAGAGCAGGAGAAGTTCCAAATAATCAATTGGAGGAGTAAGTGAGGATAATGCTGGGATCTGTAATTCAAGCTCATATTGCAAAGGTTCCAGAGGATTGGCTTCTGGACATGCTCTTAGGTGGTTCTTTCTTCCTTTGTTCAGACCTGTGAGAGGAAAAAAGGAATATCCAGATCCTGATGTTATTGCTGCCTTCAAAAGAGAGAGATTCGGGAGGGATTGTTCAGCACGCTCATTCTCAGGTCTTCATTTAGATAATGTGGCTTCCCCTGACTCCAGGGAAGTCAATAAGGTTTATACCAGAGCCCTGGCACTCTATAAATTAAATATTAGGAGCAGTGTTTGAAGTTTAAAGCCCTCCCTCCTCCTCCAGCTCGGATTTTCTGCCGCTGTGCTTTTGTCTTTCTGCCTGAGCACCTTGCTGACAAGTGCTAATAACAAAATGCCAAGAGAGGGTCCAGTCGGAGTTACCACCCATTAAACATTCGGAACTTGTCCTTTTGCTCATAGATTGTGCATAATTAATAATTAAACGGTTGCAGTTGTAATGGGTTGACCTCCTTGAACTGTTCATTATTCACAAGGCAAAGGCATCACTCAAACTTTTTTCCTCTTGCCCTTCCCTCGCTCGGTGTGCACAGCTGGCTTGGGGAAATCAGAGGCTGCTCTTGTCTTCTCCTGCAGCAGATCCCAGCCATGGAAATGTTGTTTGGATCTTCTCCTGCAGCGGATCCCAGCTGTGGAGTTATTCCTTGGGTCTTAGGGGAGCAGCCACTCCTGGGAATAATGTTCCATGGGTCCTTAGATCTCTTTGTGTCTTCACTGCTGTTTTGGCATCATCCCCAGTATCGAGGTCTTTATGGCACTGGTCAAAAGCTGTGGCAGTTCATGAAAAGGAAAGAACCTTCTCCCAGTCAACATTGAAAAGATCTGTTCCTCATTCCTTTAAAATCTTGGATTTCTGCTGTCTTTCCCTCTATAGTGTGAATTCATTTTGTAGGTGGGGAAATCAGGCAGGTCACTGGGGTGCAGTGACCATATTCCATCACTCAGGCTGGGTACAGATGTGTAGCTTTGCTTTATTTCCCTTTATTCTCATCTCTTGGAGTGTCAGACAACATCTGGGAAACCTCAGGATACAAAATAAGCTTTGTCTGCCCATCCTGGGCTTGAGCAGCATGGTCTAGTGGAAGGTATCAACCTTGGTTTCATTGAGCCTCCCAAAAGGCTTTGCATTTTTCAGGCAAATATCTGATAAATCTGTGTCCACTAAAGTCCTTGGAATGCTCCATCTCTTTTCCATCCTGAGATCCAGAGTGTGTTTATCTCCACCCTTCCATGCCAAATCTCTTCCTCAGCTCGTCAGAGCAAACCAGCCCAGGTGTGGCCACAGCCAGCAGATCAAATACCTGAATTAAGCAGAAAAATATGCACTAAAAATGGGGGGAAAATAGGATTTAACCCTTACTTCCATCCAGGTAAAATTTTCCTAGGCAAGAGCTCCTTGTCCCATGGCTGAGCTGCAGGACAGGAGCTGCACAGTCCAGGTTTTTATGCTGATGTTGGAACAACTTCTCCCCTCGCCTGGATGAGCCCGGAGGGTTTGGAATAACCAGAGTGGGACGCTGGTGGCTCCAGAGCAGCTCATCAGCTTCTCCTCCCCTCTCCTAATGAGCTTTCTCTCCATTATGGGCCGTCATCTCCTGTGAATGCAGAAATTATCACCTCCCAAATGAGTGTGAAGTGCTGGATGCCCATCCCGATCCTGCAGCGTGGACTGAGCTGAGCTGGCAGCCCTGCGAGGGATGGATGGGTTGGGAAAAGCTCCTCACTGGCATTTTGCTTAAAATAAACAGCAGGGGTGGCTTGCTGGGCACAGCCAGTTCCCCAGGGCATGGTGTCCCATGGATTCTGTGCCCAGAGCATTTCCTACCTGTCCCTTTTGGGTCCATCCCATGGATTCTGTACCCAGAGCATTTCCTGCCTGTCCCTTTTGGGTCCATCCCAAGGATTCTGTACCCAGAGCATTTCCTACCTGTCCCTTTTGGGTCCATCCCATGGATTCTGTGCCTGGAGCATTTCCTACCTGTCCCTTTTGGGTCCATCCCAGTGGATTTTGTGTTTGGAGCCTTTCCCACCTGTCCCTTTTGGGTCCATCCCAGTGGATTTTGTGTTTGGAGCCTTTCCCCCCTGTCCCTTTTGGGTTCATCCCATGGTTTCTGTGCCTGGAGCATTTCCTACCTGTCTCTTTTGGGAGAAGCCCAGGAAGGCTCTGGTGGGCAGGGGGAAAGGATGGGGAGAGGCAAATGCAAGACTGGCATTTCCTTCTGTGTTTTCTCTGTTAATACAGATCATTTTCATGGGCAGTGCTTTGAAGTGGAGAAAGTTTAATTGTGCTGCTGATTTCCTTGTGTTCCCTCCACTCTGCAGCAGGAACCTTCCCTGGATTGCTGTCATTCCTAAGTTTGGAATCAATAACCTCTCCCTCACCCGGCCCGAGTTCAAAGAGAATTTGGCCACGTTCTATCAAACACTCCTTGTATTTAATAGAAGTCTTTGAAAATTGTCAAGCAATTTTGGCTTCTCCTTTTACTCTTCAGCTACTTTTGATTTAATTGTGTTTTCCAGCAGTTTCCAATTGTTCGGATTGGAAACAAAGCCTTAATAAGAGTTCTAGTTAATTTTCTCTCTTGTAATTACCGATCTCATTTTTCTGATAATTGGCCACAGCAATTATATGTATATTTACTAATCACACAGGAGGCTCTGCAGTCGTGTCTATCTGCCACCATTGATAATGGCACACACATTGCAGAGGTGCTTTTATCATCTTCTTTTTTCCACTACATCAAAGCTATTTCCCCGTTCCCCATAATGAATACATGCATGCATTTGACACAGTTGTGTGCTAGAGAAATTGTTTGGCTCCCACCAAATGCTGCACGCTCCGAGTTTCTTGCCTGCAGCGCTGGAAGGTTGTATGTAATGATATATTGCTCATCCAAATGGCCAAAGCACTCCAAAGCACAGTGAGATTAAAATAAGTCATTCCTTTGTTAATTTAAATAGGTGCATGTATCATACTTTGCAGGGTACTTTGTGGAGGGATGTCAGGGAGGAAAAAAGACGCCGAAAGGTATTTTTAATAGCAAATGAGAATAGATGAGAATGGAGTCATTTGCAGCTGCGTGTTTTATGTGGCTCTCTTGTTCCAACTGTAGGTCTAATGAGATGACACTGTTAAAGTACTCTGCAGTGTAATTTCATTACATCCTGAGCTGTTACACTATAAACACAGTGGAGCTCTCCGTCATTCCTGGAAAAACTCCGAAATTCGTAAAGCCCTTCTTTGCAAATGGTGATGTTGTTTGTTCCCTGTTCCTCATCTTCCTTTTTTTCACCCTTCTGCTCTTTCCCTTTTTTTATTTCCATAAATACTGGCTGGTTGTTTTCTCATGGTAGCCCGGTAAATCCTGCTCCCTTCCCTTTTTTTTTTTTTTTTTTTTGGCTTTTAAAAATTCTTTTTGCCTTTTAAATCGTGAACAGGCAGCATATGAGGACAGCCTGGAAAATGAATAAGTGTAAATAAACATGAGTGTAAATAAATAGCGAATGCAGTGAAAGAAACAAAGGTCAACACAAGAATAATTTCACAGCTCTTTGTTAATTACAAGACCATTTGTGTGTTACTTAAATAATCATTAATTTCTCATTTACACTTTCCCTACCTTCCTTTTTACCCTGTGGCTATCATTGTCCTTTTTTCACCTCCCCTCAGTGTCTTTCCACATGTTTTTACCCATTGTGTAATACTCATTAGTTGAAATTCAGTGTTTTATAACACATCCTCCAAAGAATTTGTACCTTTCTGTCTCAAATCCTGCGTGTGAAAAGAAGGCTTTATTCCGGGTTATTATTCCGGGTTATTATTCCTGGAGGGTTTATTTATTTTGTTGGGTTTTTTTTTTTCAGTGTGTGTGTTTTGTTTTGCGGTTATTTTGCTTTCAACCTAAAAAAAAAAAAATTAAAAAAAAAGCTGTTGCCTGCTCCTGACTGCTCCTTGTCTCGCTGCAATGCCAGGAATCGCCGGTGCTTCCAGCCGGGGAGTTCTCGGAGCCATTTGTGCACTTCATCACTCAATGGTGAGCTGGGTGTGTGGCTGCCGTGGCCTGGGTGGAAATGAGCCGTGCCATGAACCGCCAGCTCCCCGAGCCCTCCTGGCTCTGCAGCCCTTCCCGAGCCCTGGGCAGATGGGGCAGCAGAGCCGAGCAAACTGGTTAAATTATGTCAACGTTATTTACACAAAGGGTCGTAAAAGTACTGAGAGGCTCGGGCCTTTTTGGGGGTTTTTAATCTCTTTTTTAATAAACCTCGCCCTGAATGTGGCTAGTGAGAGTCTAAGAATTCATCAGGAAAATTCATGTGTGTAATAACATTATTTAGGGTTTATTTTTTAAAATATTTTGTGTAAAATTGCCTCGATGTTTAGGAAGGCAAGCGGCCTTGATGAATTCATTGCCTCCTCAGTAAGTAATTTTTACTTTACAGTAAGTAATTCATCTGCAAAATTCATATCTGCAATATCATTATTTAGGGGGTTTTAAAAAATATTTTGTGTAAAATTGCCTCCATGTTTAGAAGGCAAGCGGCCTTGATGAATTCATTGGCTTCTCAGTAAGTAATTTTTACTGAGAGCCGTGGTTTAAAACACACCACTGGGTATATTTGCTGTCCTTAAAACAGAATAGTTCATTGGAAACCTTTTAAATTAAAGGAGAATTGGGGAGAAGAGGAGGTTGTAGAATAAAGAATACGGTTCTTGAGCGAGTAGAGGATACAAATCTGGCAGGTAAGAGATCCTAAAGAAGCAAAGCTAAGGGAAAAATCTCTTTTTAACTGCCACACACCCCTCAAAACCTAAAAATAATTTTAAAAGGGGAGGGATTTATGCACAGCAGAAGAAATAAGCTTGAATTTTGTAAAAATAGGAAGTGTTGGAGGGAGAAACATCCCCTCTTGCAGGGCTGGATGAGGTCAGAGGGAGCCACCAGAGTGGGAGCTGTGTATGGGTGGGAGCCCATACACAGGGAATCCAGGGATGTGTCTTTTCCCAGGGATTTGTCCTGCTCCAGGGATGGGTCCTTGTCCTCCCCCAACCCCACACAGGTTGGGTTTTGCACGTTTTGGGGTTTTCTGCCACACGCCAGGGCCGCTGCAGCAAAAGTGACCCCATAAAACTGAATTCTGAGCAGCTCACAGAGCAGAAAGTATCTCTGAGGCCTGCCACGGCCTGTAACAAATACAGCCACAAAAAGCAGGCTGATGAGCAGTTAATTAAAGTAACTAAATAATTAAAGTTTGTGTAACAGAGGCCTCAGTTTTCTGTGGTTTCAGCTTACAAAGACCGAGGCTATTTGGAGGATTCTGCAGCACAAGCCGGGCTGTGGAGCTCCAGCTCCTTTTATCCTCCCAAAACATGGATGACAGGCTGCTCTCAAAAAGCCGGAATGAGGCAGAGGGAGGGCCAGCCTGTGCTGAAATCCCCCCGATGTCAACCTGCAGCAGCAGTGATGGTGGCTAATAGGCTGGCTCTCCCTGGGGACGGGGCTACTTTGGGCTGTCAGATTAGAGCTGCTGCCTCACACAGCTCGTGGGACTTCGATGGCTGAGGGGCTCCCAGTTATGTGTAGGGGAAGGTAAATTGTGTCCTTAATATCTCCAATTTACAGCACAGCTCATTTGGTATTTTATACCCAGTGCTTTATTAGCTGTGGGGGGAATTACTGCTTAAAAAAACAAACCAAAAAAAAAAGCCAAATAAGGAGCAACTATATCTTATTTAAGCAATCAATTTGGAATAACGCTGAGAGATGTCAAGTGAGCAGCATCCCAGACTTTGTGCCAGGCCCTCCATAAAGCCTGGCTGCTTGGATGGAATCCAATTAGTCCACAGGCAGCTCCTGGTGGTCACCTCTGTGCCACGTTATTGTGTTCCCTCACGCAGCTAAGCACGGCCTCCAGAGCTAATTGCACCTGTTGCAGGGCAAAGCAGGACTGTTTGCATGAGAAACATGATCCTATAACCAGGTTAATGCTGGGTAATGAACTATCACCCTGCAGGGTAATGGAAATGAGTGGGGGAAAGTGAAGGTAGGAACCCCAGGGTATTGCTGTTCGGAGGTGGAGTTGGATTTCCCACCCGTTTGGGTAATGCTTTGTGTTCAGCTGTGTCATAATCCCCAGAAAAAATGGGAATCAGCTCTCTGTACCTGCTGGTTATCAGGGGTTTCTGTGTCTACGCACCTTTCATGGGATGTAAATAGAGAAATCCATACAAATGGATTTAAAAATACATCATCAAATGTACAAATACATAATGCCCACCTTTCATGGGATGTAAATAGAGAAATCCGTACAAATGGTTTTAAAACACATCATCAAATGTACAAATACATAATGCCCACCTTTCATGGGATGTAAATACAGAAATCCACACAAATGGATTTAAAAATACATCATCAAATGTACAAATACATAATGCCCACCTTTCATGGGGTGTAAATACAGAAATCCACACAGTGTGGAGCCCTGCATCCCATCAGGGAAGGCTGGGAGGGAGGAAAATGCCATTAATAATTTGGTTACTGTTAGATATCTGTGTCCCATACACTGAAATTCTTCACTCTGTGATAAAAGGGATAAAATACAATTAATAAAAATGGGAATCAGGTCTGTGTACTTGCTGTTTTCCAGTGGTTTCTGTATTTATACACCTTTCTTGGTTACAAACAGTGTGGAGCCCCACATCCCACAAGGGAAGGCTGGGAGGGACAAAAAAATCCATTAATATTTGGGGACTGTGAGGAACCCTGTGTCCCATACACTGAAATTCTTCATTCTGTGATAAAAGGGATAAAATACAACAGGAAAAATGGGAATCAGCTCTCTGTAGCTCCTGGTTCTTGGGGATCTCTGTATTTACACACTTTTAATGGTTATAAACAGTGTGGAGCCACACACCCCCTAAAGAAAGCCTGGGAGGGAGGAAAAACCCAAAATTAATATTTTGGTTACTGTTAGGAGCCCTGTCTCCCATCAGCACCTGATAAATTTAAGAAATACACTAAAATTCTTCACTCTGTGATAAAAGAGATAAAATACAATTCGATATTTCAACGTTTTAAGTAAAGCAATTTAATATTTCCAATCAACAAGCAGTTGTTTTGATACAAACGTTTTGTTTTCTGACACAGCATGAAGAAGCAGCCAAAGGAAAGGCCAGCACCTGAAGATTTAATGGTGAGTGAAACCTCAGTCTGGATTTGTCAATGAATATTTTTTGGTCATTTACATGGAAATACCTCTCTTTTTTTTTCCTGCATTTTTCAGTGTGCTGAGTGTATTTCTCTCTTTCTGCTTGTGCAGTAATTCCATATTTGCACCCAAACCAGAGGTGGAATTGTGGTTCTAAAGTTGTTTTGCTGTTACCTTCACTTGTGACTGGGGAGTTAATTCAGAACTTTCACAGCCACTGTTGAGTTTCAGTCCAAACCATTTTGATGCTTGATACACATTTTCTTCCAGTTTGGATGTCCAGGGATTACAGCTTAATGTAGGTCAGCATTTGCCAGCCTGAACCTTCCCAAAAGTGAAGATTGAAAACAGAGGGGGGGGTTAAAATATGTATTTTAATGAAATGCAAGAGCCACTGTTTTCAGTGATGTAAAATGAGACCAGTTTGGCTCAGGAGAAGGAGAATATTTGGTGAGGTGTGTCCATGGAAGGGCTCTCAGGCTTGGGATCTGAGCTCAGAGCCCACTTCTTGTGCAATTGTCATTTTTCAATTATTAATTATTGCTATTTACAGCAATTTATGTAGACTCCCAGTCCCCCTCTGGCTCATGTCAAACACCTTTAATTTTTGAATTTCCTTACTTTCCTTTATACTCTGCTTGCTGCAACTCGAAAGCTTCTCTAGAATCATCATGATTTATTTGAAATTAAATATATATTTTAATATACATATTTATTTGAATGAATATACATATGTGCATGGAATATACAGAGATAATTGGAATAGAGGAATAATTGTAAGGGATTTTAACAGGATCAAGACACTGGTGCATCCTCTCATTTCTTGTTTCCAAGAAAGAGAATATTCTCATTGCTTCTGTGAGAATAAACAAGTTTTTCTACTGCAGCAATTCTCTAGTTAAAGGCTAATCTGTGAAGATGCCCAGGGGCAGGTGTCTCACAACCCAGAGCAGTCTCTTTCCTGCTTGGGAAAGTATTTAACTGTCAGTCTCATTTTAGGGATATTAACTCCACCAAATCTGCCCTCGGAGTTGGGCACCTGCTTAAACCCCTCGCTGAAATGAAACCTTAAAGTTTATCAGAGCCCCTCCACCTTGGGTGTTCTCCCACCAAAGGCTGATTTTTGTCTTTTTTATGAACTTTTGATGGCTGGGGAATTCTTGCAGTTAGTCACATCTGAGGAAACTTGGAGCAGGTTCTGGAGCTGCAGCCACATTTACCTCGTGCACTGTTCTGCCATGGCTGGCTGCCCCAGCCATTAAAACAATGGAATGGGCTTTCAGAAAACCTCTCTCTGCTTGCAGATGCACATTTTGGTGATGCAATAGGCCTGCCACTTATAAATAAAACATCTGCAGATCCCAGCGCCCCCCAGAAGTGTGCGTGGGGATGGTTGTGAGCAATAACACCACTCCAGGGTGTAGAGCCATAAAAATGAGGCCAAAGGGTGAGTGCCTGCAGTAGCAGGGAAGTGCACAGATTTATCTTTACAACTACATGCCCTGGAGTGTGCTGGGCCCCTTTAAAGGAGGTGTTTTGTGAAATTATTTGGAAATTCCGGCGCCTCTGGGGGAGAAAAAATAAATAAAAAAGAAGCGTTCCTACTTTTTAAACAATTTAATGCATTTTTTTTCCACCTCCTTTTTAGGCAGTTGGAAATGAGCTTGCAACAATGAGTAGTAAAACAGGAGCTGCTCACTCCTTTATATTATAGAGGATATATGTAATATTAGATATAGTATATATTTATATTTTCATTTCACATTATATATAAATATATATTTATAATCAATAAGTATATATTATCTAATTGTATTATATTATTAATAGTAAGTAATTATTTGTCTATACATAATCTTTATATAATATGTTTATATAATTATTTTTATTTATATATTATATCATTTTAGAGTCTAACCCTTTATATTTTTGCTTTTCCCCAGTCTTCTCAAGGAGCACTTTATTTATAAAATTAATATGAATATATGCATTAACATTATGTGTCTGTGCACACATATATACACACAGCATATCTGTGCCTAAATATGTGTGAAAAAATTTATTTATAATTGCTGGAAAACAGGGCCAGAAAAAAACCCTAAAACTTCAAATATTGTGGAATTAATGAGGTTGGAAAAGCCCTCCAAGGTCACGGAGTCCATTTGAGCCCCACCTTGAGCAGAGCACTGAGTGCCACATTCCCTGAGCACAAAAATCCTGTGAACTCTGGAGTTTCTCACCAGTGCATCCTTTCATTCCATCTTGCTGAGATTGCCACGTGGCTCTGGTGGATGGAAGGAATGCACAGAGGGATGCAGAGAAACCCTGGATCTTCAAGGTCACCTTCTCCCTGATTGAAACCAGAGCAGGGATTCACCTTGTTCGCTGCGGTTTGGGTTGGTTTATTTTAATTAAAAGCAGTGTTGCAGCAATGATGGGAGGTGTCACACGCTGCCATCCTCACCTGCAGACAAACCAGAGCATCTTCCCTCCCCTGCAGACACAGCTGTGCTGGAAGTCACTGTCTGGTGCCCAGTTTAGGATAATTAAGGGCTGAAAGCAAGTTGAAGGGAGCAGAAGATGAATCTTTTCCTCCTCTGCTGAAAGTCAGTGGGTTTTAGGTGCATTTCAGGAGCTGAGTGCCAATACCTGGAGTGCCAGGTTGGCACCTCCACCAGAGTCCTGGGATGGATTTCCTCTGCCTGTCATGCTAAAAGCTCTTTTTTATAAAACCCAAAATGTCCATTTGGTCAGGAAGTTGGGCCAAAGCCGAGGCTGGAGGAAATTCCTGTTTAAAGTAAAGCTTTTCATTCCCACAGGTGTCCATGTGCAGGTGGATCAGGCTCCTGTATTTATTTATTTTATTATTTATTTACTCACTGCCCTTTCTCCCCTGCAGCCATGCCCAAAACAAGATATGCCACTGGTTTTTCTGGGTGTGCACAATCAAATCCACTGACTTGTTCCACAGCACTGAAATAAGGAATTTCACCAAGTAAAGAGGAAAAAATTGTCCATTCAGGGAAAGGAGCAACCTCAGAATTACCAGTGGTCATCCTGAACTTTAAAATGCTGCTCTTTAATCTCCAGTTTGTTCCCTCTTAAGAGAAAGGCAGAGAGCCAATTAAATTGAACATATTCCTATATTATCACAGGGAAGGCTGCAGAGCACATTCCTCTCTGTCTGTCCCCTCCCTTTCTAACATGAAAATCTCAACAATTCTTCTGTATAAAGGGATTTTTCCCCTTTGCAGTTGTGTTTTTTGCCAGAAACACTGAGTTTTTCTGGCTCTCAGGGCAGTGTTTATTCAGGAGTTGTGCTGTGGCAGCCCAGGGAAGGTTTAAACTCCTGCTCCTGTTTTTAATTCCCTGTTGTACTTGTTGGAGATGTTCTCTAACATCTTAACATGTGTCTTAAGATATTTAAATATACAAACTAACTGTTTATCTGGGGAAAACATACCCATTACAGCCAGTAAAATCAGTGCCTGGTCCAGAGCCATTCCTGGAATGGAGAGAGGGATTGCTGGGTGCATTGGAATGGGAAATTTCAAAATTGTATTAGGCATTGAAATAAATGAAATACCAAAGGAGAACAGGTTTTCCAGCATGTCAGTGGCTTTGACACAGATCATGTACAGTTTATCACACAATGTTTAAATTTATACATTTCATAGTTTTTTATTTAAATAATTTAAATTGACAAAGGTTAATAATTTTATTTTAAAATTGATAAAAAATTAAATAAAGTATCAACATAAGAAACATCAGTAATTTAAATTTTTAACTCCTGTTTAAACCCAGGGAAGGTTTAGATTCTGGTTTAAACCCAGGGAAGGTTTAACTCCTGTATAAACCCAGGGAAGGTTTAATTCCTGTTTAAAGCCAGGGAAGGTTTAACTCCTGTATAAACCCAGGGAAGGTTTAATTCCTGTTTAGAGCCAGGGAAGGATTACAAGGGAAGGCTGGGAGGGACAGGTTTAACTCCTGTTTAAAGCCAGGCAAGGTTTAGAGTCTGGTTTAAACCCAGGGAAGGTTTAATTCCTGTTTAGAGCCAGGGAAGGTTTAACCCCTGTTTAAAGCCAGGGAGGTTTAAACTCTGCTCATGCCCGGAGTCCAGGGAAGCAGGCAGGCTGGGGCTGTGCCTGTATTTACGGTATTTTCCCAAAGCTTTCCATCCTAAGCTCTATTTAATGGAATCTATGCATAGTAAGTAATCAGGTCAGAGAGAAGCAGCATCCCCTGTTTGAGATCAATCGCTGGCTAATACTTTATCTAGGCCACTTTATTATCTCATGCTGATTCCATTCCCATTCTCCTCCTCCTTTGTAGCGTGCACTTCAGCTGTGGTAAAACTACGCCTGGCATACATATTAAAAACATATACCCATTCTATCTGTATGTAAATGGGGGAGGCACAGCTGGATATTGCAGGAGTTTGATTTACTAATAGTTATTATCTGTTCTAGCTGTTCAGAGGCAGGGAGAGTTGCAGAAAACAAGCTAGCGCAGAAATTGCCTTTATGATATCACTGCCCTGCTTTGGTAATTGTTTAAAATCTCTTCTTTAGCTGCAAGCTCGGCCTGGCTGCTGCAGATTGTTGGTGCTTTTTGTGGAATTGCTGGAGTCTCTTGGTGAGGGGTTTTTTTTGTTGTTAGTGCAGCATTGAACTCCTCCGTGATGGTTGTTGGAACGAAAGGCGTTTACGTAAAAAATGGTGTTTGAGACACCAAAAGTCAGGAATGGAGCAGTTATTCCGTTGTGCTCTCCTGTGGAGGCATCAAAGCACAGCCTTTAGGATGTCTCAAGGAAAAATTGGGCAGGGAGAGGATGCAGTCACCTCCTGCACTCCATTACTTTTGCACAGATCTAATGATTCTTCTTCGAGTTGTCAACACAACCAGGAGCTTTTCTCCTTCTTAAAATTTAAATTACTGACGCTTCTTAGGTCAATATTTTATCAATTTAAATTGTATCAATTTAA